GGGGGTTGGGAGGGGTGCTTTGTAAAAGTGAATCTTCTTCCATGGGCAGAAGCTTATGTTGTTGGTAGACTCCAGCAGTTTGTTGCATGACTGCACTAAGAAGAGGCCCTTAAGATGTCCATTCCACTTGATATCAGCCGGCTTATATAGGTCCAAAACTAAATTGGTCAAACGTTGAAATAAGAGACTTATCATTTCTACTTCCCAATTACTAATAGTCCTCCTCAGAAATAGATTCCAACCTTGTGGAGAGGAAAATTCAGCAACTGAGCCATCATGAAGTGAAGCTAGGCAGAAAATATCTGGAAAGAGAAGAGGTCATTTAGAGGGGTATGACCCAACCATGCATTCTTCCAAAGTCTGATTTTTCTGCTATTAGCAAGTAGAAGACAGTATGTGCCTTAAAATAATCCCAATACGTATTTATGGAGCCTTTGAGATATTAGTGTGCCAAGGACCTTCAAGAGCGAATTTTTTCACCAATATTCTCCTCCTGAGTGCATTAATGCATTCTTCCCCAGGCTGAATCTCCAGTGCCATTTCATTAAGAGACTTTTATTGTGTCTCTTAAGATTCTTAATATCAAGACCACCATGGTCTATGATGGAGGGTCGACAAAGGTAGTACGAAGGGGGGTCCTGCTCTTCTTCCGTCAACATCGAACTTTACAAAGTTTGAGGATTATTAGGGGATTTCTAACTTGGATTTTGGCCCATTCGCGGGCACTTTTTTCGACTGTGAGCTGGTCAATCACCGTCAACCTAACAAACAGTTTTCCGATTGTTGAAAAAACCTTCGACAGATATGATGAGGAACCTTAATAAGTTTAACCCATGTATTGGCGATCTTTCTTCCTTCCCTAAGAGACCAAGGTCACGTTACTGCCATCGTAGCCCTATTCAATGTCCACCTTTGCACCGGTCCAAACTTAAAATATGGGAAACACCATCCGTAGAAGGACATTCGAGGAGAAAGCAGTTGTTGAAATTTCTTCGACATTGGCATAAATCTACCACTTTCTGAGGGCCCATTAGAGAATGTCCATAAGGGAGCTTTAATGGCAGAAAAGTACCCGATTTTTTTTTTCTTTTTTTGTTTTGTTTCGATAATCAAGAAGTCCTTGAGGGCCACTGATGCACAGTTCGAAACTTGTTGGATAATGTGTTCGACCTCTATCCTTCTCCATTTAAATACAAGTTTTGTATGCAGTAGGGTTTAATACGTGACGTGCGCCTAACCGCACATCACCAGCATCACTCTTACCACTAGGCCAAAGCCTTGGGGCTACCCACAAGACATCTTTTAAGGAAAAATTGTCTGGAATGAGTAGAATCATCATAAGTAGAGATTTAAAAACCATCAGAATCAGACATTTTTGAAAGAACAAGGTTGGTGGTCCAGCAGGGATCTTGGTAGTATTTGTGGAACTCTTTGGTGCTGGCTTGTGGATTATATTGGTAGAACCTTCAGAAAACCTCCATAACTTATTAGCAAAGTCTGACCGGCCGGCATTGGTGGAGAATTTCTTAAATTTGAGGACTTAACAACTCTCATGTTTCACCCAACTGTCGAAATTCTGAAAACCTGAGATATCTAAGAAGTTTTTCCCTGGTTGTATGATCGTTTTATATTTCTCAGAGGCCAGAAGAAAGACTCGACCACGTTAAGCGCAAAAAAGCGACGAGGTCTCGCTTCACAGAAGCGAGAAGCGCGCAGCGAAGCGCGCACTTTTTTGCTGTGAAGCGCAATTTAACACATAAAAAAAAGGCAAAATACATAATTTACCCATCGAACTTTGGACCAAATCTCTCTTACACACCTTAAGTATACGGGTTTAATTTTACACACCAAACCTTTCAAGAGTGTGTCAATTACACACTACTTTTTTCTGATGGCATGCGTGTGTTTAACTAAAAAAATGAGCGCGTCAAACCGATTCATTATCTGTCCAAGTCCTTATATAAGCACACGTGTCTAAATCTTATTTGTCCACTTATTTTTATTAATTTAATAATTAAATAAAAAGAAAAAGACATCCAAGCAAAATTAAGTCATCTTCTTCCTTGTTTAAAAAAAACCTGCCATGGCTGCTTCACCATCCGATCTCCTGCTTCTCAAATAAACCCACCACAATTTCTCATCTCTTTTCATTGATTTGTTTTTAGTTTTTTTTCCAGATTTTTGGGCGAGAAATTGTGACTAGATTCAATAGTTAAAGTTTTGTATAGTTCCCCCAACCATTAAAGCTTGCCTCAAGCTTTTGCATAGAAAATTATTTTTTTGCGGAGAATCTTAGCTTGAGCTTTTGGCGTGGCAGAGTCGAACTTTTCGAAAAAAAATTTCAACCATTAAAGCTTAACTCAAAAATGAATTTTTGGGTGCGTTTTCTGGTATTTTGATTAGTTAATGGTGGCTTTATTATTAAGTAAAAGTTAGGGGAAGAGGCTATGGTGGTTGATGGTGAAGAGAGGAGATGGACGACATCCATGGTGGTTTAGAACTTTAGATGGAGAAGATAAGGGGTATAGTTGTAATTTTAATTATTTTATTTTTTAATAAAAAATAATGACACGTGTCAGTGTTTGATTGGTGCGTGATATTACACATCTTCTGAAAAACTGGTCAAGAAAAAAGTAGGGTGTATTAGATACACTTTGGAAAGGTTGAGTGTGTAATGTAATTTTCGTCCACAAAAAGTGTGTAAAGGGATTTGGTCCATAGTTTAGGGGGTAAATTATGTATTTTGCCTAAAAAAAATAAAAAAATAGGCATAGATAAATGGCTAAGAACTCATTAAAAATAACATATTAAGCAAATGTTTCATAATAGATACTAAAACTAGATAGTGAATAATCCTCAAAAATCATAATATCTTAAGCAAATGCAAAACAAAACCACAAAAGGAGCAACATCCTATTCTTCAACAAGATCTCCAAACACTTGAAGTGTCATCACGTTCGAGTTATTATATTGGTCATCATCTTCATCTTCATCAGCTTCATTAGTTAGGGTTCTACTTGTACTTGTACTTGTAGATACTCTTTCTTTGCTCCTTAAAGTACTTTCCCTAAAACCATAAACATTCTCTTCAATTCCACTTGCCATAGCAACATGACCAAAAGTGAGACCTTCTCTTTCAAACACTTCTTCTTCTTCTTCATGATTTTCGGGGCCTCTGGTTAACCATTCATTTGCTTCATCAATGTTATCCAATAAAATTGGATCAATGATATTGCGAGCTTTGTAACGATGAGCCAATGTTCTATTATATTTTACGAACACGAGATCATTGAGTTTCTTTAGCTCAAGCCTGTTCCTCTTCTTACTATGAATCTGCATAATAAGATGTAGAAAGTAACTAAGAGGAGTACTCAGGACAATTGAGATAAACTTTAATTTAGTAATAATGTAATATAGCTTCTTACATGTTCATAAACACTCCAATTTCTCTCGCATCCGGATGAACGACAAGTTAAGCTTTGAACTCTAATAGCAAATTGTTGCAAGTTTGGAACTTCATAACCAAATTGCATCCGCCATTCAACTGTAGAAGTATTATTTTAGAAGTTAATAACTTGAAAGTTAAAGCTCTAAAGGGGAAAACAATTGAAAAAAATTGCTCATCTGGTGCCAATTTGGTTCTGCCTCTAATGGCCGAAGGTAATCCAAGAATTCCATCGGCTTGCCTATACACACCAAACTCTTCCCCTATTTTGTCTTGCATCGCTTCATCTGGCACCAACTTCGCAACACATGCATGATACCCCTTCCAAACGTTTAAATCTAAAGTCTTGTTCTCATTGTTTGTGTAAAACAATCCGGGGTTCAAAATATGACCTGCTGCATGTAAAGGTTGATGAAGCGGATCATCCCACCTTTTATCAATGATTTGAAACACTCTCTCATATTTCCTCCTATCATGATCAAATGCTTTCTCAATAGCTTCTTTAGCCCTATCCATGGCTTCATAAATGTATCCCATTGGTGGTCTTTTCTCCCCATCCACCATACGAAGTACATTATTCAAAGGATTACCAACTCTAAGTGCTTGAACAATGTCATTCCAAAAAGCAACAGTAATAGCAAATCTCGCAACTTCTTTCCCAAGAGCTTCCTTTGCATAGTTACTCTGACTCCATTCGGGTGACAAGAACATGGTTCGCCAATTTTGCTTTTGCAGGTAAAAGCTTTGCAAGGTCAAGAGAGCTTTGCGAATCTTGTCTTAGCCGGTTTCACCAAATTTCTTTCTTTTGTGTATCTCCTCATCATGTTCAACAACAACGACCTTTGACTAATGTAAGAATATATCTTGACCGCCTTAGCAAAAACTGTAGGAAGTCAAATTTCATAGTTAATAAGTATGAAATATTTAACATGAAGGTTAAAAACTTAAAATAGAAAATAAGAACCACTTGTTCACCCGTAGAATATGGGGCTAACTTGAAAATGTCACCAAAGATCAAGTTGATACAATGTGCAGCACACGGAGTCCAATAAATACTTGGGAAAACTCCTTTCAACATGTCACCCGCTTTTTTATTCTCACTTGCGTTATCATTAACAGCTTGAACCACATTTTCCGGTCTAACTTTCAATATTGTCTTCTCAAGCAAGTTGAACATTTTATTGGAATCGGTTGAGGAGTCACTAGCATCATAAGATTCAAAAAACACACTACCTCTCGGAGAATTCACCAAAACATTAATGACCATTTTTCTATTTTTTGCGGTCCATTTGTCCATCATAATGGAACAACCATAAACTTTTCATTGCGCCTTATGCCCCTCGACAATCTTGTCTGTCTTCTCCACCTTTTTTAGACAAGGAACTCTTACTTCGTGATAGGTAGGGGGCTTCATTCCCGGGCCATATTGGCCAACGACCTCAATGAATTCCCCAAAACTATCTGTGTAATTCACACAATTAAAAGGAAGCCCCACATCATACATCCACCTTGCAAAAGCATCTATATCACGCTCCCTTAAACTCTTCCTACAAGATTCTAAGTCAGCTTCACCCTTTCTCTTTTCATTTGGTTTTTGTGAGAAAAAAAGATGAAGAGGACCTTTCACATTGCTACCGGCGGTGGATGATCCACTTCCACTTATTGAATTCTTTCTTTGAGATTTAGAGGGAGGTGGCCTCATTATATCATTGACTTCATCGTCACCCTCATCCATTTGAGTATCTTCATCAAGAAGATTCATCATAGATGCTCCATGGCTCATTGGATTTTTTAACTCATTTTTTTCTCAAGATAATCTCTCATTTCTTTCTTAACAGTAACCGGAACACTTGGACATTCTTTGACATCTCTAAAACCACCGATTAGATGTCTCTTGTGACGATGTATTCCACCGTTATAAATTTTTTGACAAAAGATACATTGCACTTTTGAGTTATTATTGCCAACTGCAACTCCATACGCCTAAGCTGGATCTCTTTTTTGGCTTGATGCCATTGAATAATCAAATTAAATTTACTACAATCAACAACCAAAAAAAAAAAAAAAAAAATTAATTCACTGCCCTAAACAGAAAACAGAGCATAAAGTCATAAACAACACTTTTAATAACAGAAATAGAGCATAAAGAGAGCATAAAAGAAGAAAACAAAGCATAAACAACACTTTTAATAACAGAACAAAAAGAAAAACAGAGCAGCAGTGGGAGCAGAGCTTAATCTGGAGAAAAAAATTGAAAGAAAAACAGAAAAGAAGAAGAATACCAGAAGAAGACAAAAAACAGAGCTTGAAGAAGAAAGAACAGAAGAACGGAAGAAGAAGACTAGAAGAAGAAGAAGACTAGAAGAAGAAGAAGAACAGAAGAAACTTACCTGTTTTGGAGTGGTCGTTTGCTGGGCTGGAGAAGAAGGTGCTGTAGTTCGCTGAGCAGCAGGTCTGTCGCATAAGTTTTGGTAACAGATGCCTTTGGAGCGTATGTTTATCGCTTTTATCGCTTCGTCGCTTCTCGCTTAAGCGAGAAAAGCGTGCGCTTAAATAATGTGAGTCGCTTTTTTCCAAGAAAGGCGTAACCCCTGCGCCTCGCCTCGCTTCGTCACTTAAAGCGAGAAGCGAGCGCTTTTAAGAGTGGTCTTTTCCTTTCCATATCTCTCGGAGGCTAGAAGAAAAATTTGATGAAGATATTGCTGACAAAACTAGGTTTACATTCAATTTATTCACCAAATAGTAGATTCCAATGACCTTTCATTGATCTCAAAAGATTTGTTACCATCGATGAAGATTTCCTGTTCATGGGTAGTCTGAAGGAGATCGTCATAAAGGTGATCATCGGCAAATTAGGAGGAAGGAGAGAAGCGTGAGGGGAGAGAAGAAGAGTAAGAAAAGGAAAAAGTTCTCGGAGAGTTAAGGGAGAGGGAGGATAATTTTCTTTGGGGTGAGCACAAATATCTATGTTCCATATTAATGGTAAAGTTTTCCTTCTGTAATAGAATGTTGCCCAAGGATCATAGCCGTTCACCTACAAGTGAAGCAGAAATTTACAACAACAACAACAACAACCCAGTATATTCCCACAAAGTGAAGCAGAAATTTAAAAGAAAAAAATCTACGTGTAACTTAACTTTCTAGAAATGTCAAAGTGATCCAAACTTGGGATAGATGATAGAGGGAGTGGATTCTTATCTGTTGGGATTCAACGAAACATTTGAGGAGAAATACGGTTCTAAAACCACTAAACCATATCAATAGGAACCAAAGGAGAAAAATACATTCAATAGTTTGGGTAGTCAATTTTAACCCGCTGATTTTGGTATTATTATGGGCTTTATGCCGAAGTTCAATCGTACTGTGAGGTAGAAGCAAAGTTCAATGTGATATTTTAATTAAGAAGTCTTCATTTTGCACTGATTTTGTTTAAGACAAATCGATGCTATTGCTAAAACATATTTTTTTTCCTGTTTGAATATTTCTCAAAGTCAGCAATACTGGTGTTTCTACTTAAG